ATCTTCCCACATCAGCTAATACCTGCACGATGGACAGGTTTTCACAGCGTGTACCGTGTGCCTCCAGCTTTCGGAGCTGGAGTGCGGGATGCTGTAAGACAACGGGATATGTGAGAAGCTAACAGGCTATAGGGACAAAACAAACTTACAGAGCAGCTGTCCTTGCTCCGGGTGTCAGACTGAATCTACAGCATATACAGAACAGCTTAGAGCAGTGGTGCCGTCTAAAAGTTTCTTTGGGACCTTTTCTTTTTTTTGCAATTTTCTCTTTTTTTAATTTTTATTTTTAATTAATTTTATGTTGATTCACTGAGCATAGTCACAGCACACAAAATGTGATTTCCCATCCAGAATATACTGCACAGTGGCTTAATCATACATGTTACATTGATCATTTTCCATTTCTAATTTCATATATACATATATATGTATACATACATATGTGTATGTGTGTATATGTATGTGTATATATGTGTATATACACATGTGTGTATGTGTGTATACATGTGTGTGTTTATGTGTGTATGTACTGTGCTCTCTCTGGTGCTTTCCATTCAGCTGCTTTCCATTCTTCTTTTCCCCCCTTCTTTTCTTTTATTGATTCACAAAATATCTTCTCCACCCGTGGACTGGCTCTGTTCCCCCTTGCACTGCCTGTGTTAATAAGGATAAAGAACTTGCGACCTTTGGAAAGACTCCAAGGGAGCAGATGTTAGCACCAAGAGGACACTTCTTTCCCCTTGTTGAAACCTGGGAGTGACATCACTTCTCTCTCTCCTCAGTGAACTAATCTTGTAAAGTAGGGACCATTCTCTCTCAGGATTAAAGAAGAACTGTAGGGGCTTAGCGAACCCTAAGCCATCCATATCCGGGTAGAACCACTTTGGTAAAAGCAACACTTTGGCTGCCTCATACCAGAGAGCCAGCATGCTGGGGGATACCTCTGGTGGGTGTCCTTGCTTCCCAGGAACTCCCTCCGTCCGTCCTGTGAACTTCTTTAGGAAAAGCGCACCTTAGGGAATTCTCGGTACTGAACAGAAGTTGGCAGTCCGCAGTCCCCTCTCTCTCACATGCATACCATTCTTTTAGAAATAGTAACTTCTCTTTGAGAACTCAGGGACATTGCCTTGCTTTTACGATACAGGTTACATTTGGTTTTCCATAATAAGCACATGAGGTCTGATCTTCTTCTAAGAGTTCATCTTGGCCTAGAGTCGAAATCAATGCCTTGCTGAATGAACAGAGTCTCCTTTGAAAGAGCTATAAGAAGTTGATGCCATAATAGGATCTGAATATAATACTGAGTTTAAGAAAGATGATTTTCTCAACAGAAATAATTTATTATGGCTAGAGGTGACATGAAATTATATTTTTCCTTGAAGCATGTTCCTTGTAAGTGTGCTCTGGAGCTACCTGAATTGAAATTACTGATGATCTCCATTTGTTTCATTGCATGTATTATGCTGACCCTGAGAGAATATTCAGTCTAGAGAGCAGAAAGCACGCAGCAGTGCTGACAGGCCTGCAGACAGCTCCGTGCACCAGGGCTCCTTCTGCCGTGAGCTGTGCTCCCGTCCCTGCCCGAGCACTGTCATCCCTGGTGCTACAGTTGGAGTTTTGGACATCTTTGGTTCATGTGTCGCTCGTCTGTTAAGATCCCATATACATTTCATCTGGGGGTCACAAGAACATCCTCTAGTGAACATAAGCACGCGGAAAGGAAAGTTTGCATTTAGAACTATGTATTTCCTAGTTCAAAGAAGATTCTGTTCTATCATCATTTATGTACTTTTTTAAATAAATTTATTTATTTATTTTTGTATATACATTCAATCATATTGTTTAGCTTACAATGTGAGCATTTCAATATGTGGAAATTTCTCCCCAGACCCGCTGGTCAAAATATCTTCAACCGATAACACCACACCTCCCCATCCCGTCAATGCTCTACCTCCGTATCCCTTCTTTAAATGTCCTTTATTAGGCCCCACTCCTCCACACACACCTCATCTGACATTCACACCCATCTCTTGTGTTTGTACAACCTTTAGTCAATCAGTTTCAGTCATAGAGTGCTGACATCCAGTATATGTTAAGTGGGGACATACAGTGTCTCTCCTTCATATCCTGGCTTGCCTCACTCAGCAGTAAATCTTCCATATTCTTCCACTTTCTGTCAAAGGCCAGGGTTTTGTTGGTTTTTATGGCTGAGTAGTATTCCATAGAGTATATGTGCCACAGTTTTTCAACCCATTCATCCGTATGGGGGCATTTGGGTTGGTTCCATGTCTTAGCAATTGTAAATAGTGCCACAATAAACATCGATGTGCAAGCACTTTTCCAATGAAGAATTCTGTCCTTTGGGTAGATACCAAGGAGTGGGTTTTTTAAAACAAACAAACAAACAAACAAACAATTTCCAGTAATGGTGGAGGTATGTGGACCACCTCTCTTTGTTTTATCGTTTGTTTGGGTTTTTATTTTGTTTTGGTTTCTGTAGAGTACGTGCACTTGCTGGAGAGAGACAGCACATGCATCCCAGGGAGGACGGCCATGCCATAGTCCCCTGTCGTCCATTCTCTTCTCAGTATTTTGGGCACACGTGCATATACACTAGATGTGATTTTTTTTTAATAATTAATTAATTTTAATTTGACCAGAGAGGGACAGAAGGAGAGAGAGGGAGAGAGGGAAAGTGAGAAAGCAAGCTGCCAGGTCTGGGACTTGAATCGTAGTCAGCTATGTGGGAGCCCAGTGCCCTTAACCACCATGCCAATTGCCAGCCCCTCAGACGTGATTTTAAAGCCGCTGGGTCTAGGACTCAAACCACTCAGTCAGCCATGTAGAATTCAGTCACCTTCACTTCCACACCACCTGCCGGCCCCAAAACCACCTATCTTGGCAAGTTCTTCTGGTTATTCAAAATGATACATAGAGTATATATTTTATAGGCAGGGATTAGTGGTTCAGGTTTGGATCATTTAAAAAAAAAAAGAAAAGAAAAAGGGCAGGCTGGCCCCTTAGTTTAGAAAGAAGTAACATGAGCACTTTGAGTATTCTGTTAATAGTCGCTCATTAGCAGGAGCCGAGAGGTTGGACAGCCCAGGAGAGAGGAGGAGGGTGGATACCAGAAGCTGGAGCAGGGCGACAGTAGGGAGGGTGGGAGAACTTGGTTAAGAGACAAGCAGGCATGTATGTGGAGCGGGCTAGAGAACATCATAGAATAAAGGCATTGGTGACAATTCAACATATGTTTGCAAATAACCAGAAGAGACGATAATGAATATGCACTCATCAAAGTAAGGATCCATGTTGCAGAGGGTAGCTAAGTTCACCCCCTCATTTCAGCATCCATGTGTTGAAAAAACACACTGTACCCTACGAAGTTGTACAACTATAGTGTGTAAATTAGAAACTAGAATAAAAATTATTTTAAAATAGAGCCAGTTAGCATTATTCATCACCATATCACATATGTGGTACAGTTTCAGTGTAGTTCTCACAGAGACCTGCAGTGCTCATATGCGCTGCAGTGTAGTCTTTTCCAAACACCACCGAATCCCCATTCCGTTACTTATTTGCCGCCACCTTTTATAAGCTGTGGATTTTTTCCTGACTCCTGGGAAAACGTCTTTCTTCCTCTGCCCCTCATCGTGCTTGAGTGTCCTCTTTCTTTGATGAGTATACGGGTCCTCGGTCCAGACTGATGGCTGTGTGTCACAGGGAGGGCAGATGAAAGTAGAGCTGGGGGTAAGTTGGCAGAGTTCTGGGAACCTCAGAAACCTCATTCAACTTTACGAAAAAGGATCGGGCCAGTCTTTCTGCTTCCAACAACTTTCTTAGTCGCTCCTTGCCCTGAAAGAATGTAATCTGTATTCCTCTCTCCATCTCTGAGATTGACCTAGGGCTTCGCAGAGGACTTAAAGAGACTGTGCTTAATTACAGATAGAAACTAGTAAACCCTTTTGGCTTATAAATATGTGTGTGTGTGTGTGTGTGTGTGTTTATGTGTGAGATATATATATATATAGATATAAATAAATAAATTTGCTACATCTGGGACTTTTTCAAGCCTTATTCTGTTATCTATAGCGAAGGGCAAACTGGTTTACTCCATAGCAAGGAGTCCTAAGAGACACCTAACTGAGTTACAATTGATTTAACTTCTGGGGAGCACTCCAGATTAAGGTTTGCAGATACTTATATGTTAATACTGATTTCAGTCATCACTCCTCTCCATGGATTTCGGGTCTCCTTTCCTAGAAATAAATTGCGGGCAATAGCATGCTATCACTTGAACAAATGTGTGAATTTCACCAAGCCGTACTTTTTTTTTTTTGGAGAGGTTTTTGCTATAGGGTGCGTGCGCTTGCCAGACAGACAGAGAGAGACAGAGAGACAGAAAGCAAGAAATCACCCCCCAGGGGGATGGTCACGCCACAATCCCTTCTCCTCCATTCTCCTGTTGGGATCTTGGGCACACACGCACACGCGCCTGGCGTGAGTTTTAAGCCACCGGGTCCGGGACGCGAACCGCGGTCGACTACGTGGGAGTCCAGTGACATAGCCATTACGCTAACTGCTGGTTCCCACCAACCCGTACTTTTTAACACTAGGAAGAAGAGAGAGGATGACGAAGTGAGCTAGAGGGGCTATGTGGGGGACAGGTGGGGACAGGGGCGGCCTGGCTTGTCACGGCACTGGCCTTCTCTCGTCCAGTGCCCTCTTTCCCTCTGGAACTCATACTCTCATGTCATCTCCATTCATCTCGCCCCACCTCCTCAGCCTTCTGTTGAATTATGTGTGTCCCTAAATGAATGAGTCTCCTATCTGGTCATAAAAAAGTGGTAAGTTGTGACTCCATTTACTTGTGTGAGCGATGGTAAAAACAGGAAGTGGAGAACAGGAAAATGCATGTAATTTGGGAAGAAGATCTGTGGTATATTTAAGAAAGAGGGGACAATTAATTTCAATTACTGTGTGTATTCTTTCAAATTAAGGAATAGAAGGACAGTCTGTGGAAGTTTCCAATGTCGTGGACATCCGGAAAGTGTATAACCGGGAGATCGCAATGAGAATTTCCTCTGACATAAACAGCCAGAACAGATTTTATACGGACCTAAACGGCTACCAGGTAACTGTCCTGTGCACCGCCTCAGTAGGGTTTGTATTAGTGTGTGACTTTTAGATCTGAAAATGGGCCAGAGGGGTTTGGATCTTTGAAAAATTATGCCTGAAGTCGCAGATTATCTCTAAAATAAAAGTGACTTTTTAAACACATAATTGTAGGTTCTGCATTTGATCAAATCTCCAGAATTAGAACAAATATTTGAGTGGTCTTTTTTTTTAAGAACATCTATTTGTAGGGATTTATTTTTTCAAAGGAAGATTTGATGACCATTAATTATAAAAGCTTTGATGCTAATA